TCAGGCGAAAAAAAAAAAAACAATCCATACCGGACAGTATATTGAAATACCGATACAGTAAAAATATTGTCTATAAAAGTCACTTCGATGCCGTGTGGAGAATGGGAGAGATCTGCTGCACAAGACCTGGCTCTTGCTGCACATCTGAGACACTGAGACAGACGGTCTCAACGCCAGGAAATACAAGCGATTGAGTTTGAATGTCACTTATTAATAATGTATACTGTACGAGACAGGGTTGTATAAAAGCCGCAGTACAATATTGAGATCCATGAGGTTCCCTCTGCCTTATAATGGGAAAAGGCACATTATTACGTATCTTAAAGTAATGGACTGTTTGGAATCCTAATAGAATAGTTACATTAACATGTTTAACACAAAAAACTACCATACCTGTATTGTATTACATTTCTTGGATTTATTTTAAAAACACTGTAGAGATATTCAATAGTTCCAGACAGATTTTATTTATATTTCAAAGAAAGTGATTACTGGTTTACAGTATGCACATTAGAGATATTACTAGATTTCAGAATGAAATAATGTGTGTAAAATTTTCTGTAAAAATGTCTCTGCAAAGCATTCGTTTTTTTCAATCTAAACAAGGCTATGCACACCAGACAAAGCAAAACAGTCCCAAAACAAAACATTTTCCCTCCGTATCTCACCAAGAATGCGATATACAACTTTTTCTGTGAAAGAAACTTTTTTTTTTGCAAAGACCGTTGTCTGTGGTCTCTGTCCAAAAAGCTCCCTTATAGTTTCAACCAGCTTTTCTTTCTTTAAACCACAATATTTTGCATGTCAGTTCTCATATGCAGTGAAGAAAAATCTCAAATTGTGTTTGAAAAGCCAAAACACAACCAAAATAAGTAGGTATGAATACGTTTTTAGACAGGTACTGTACATAAACATCTCCAAAGATACTGGAGAGTGAATCAGGTGCCTCTGTTGTGTGTGCTCTTTTCCATTCAGTATACATATGACCGTGCATTATGGGGAACATAATAATTCCTAATAATATTTCCTTACTTCTGGACACTCCACTCAAAGCACTTTACAGGTAATGGGGCCTCTCCTTCATCACCAATGTGCAGCCCCCACCTGGATGATGTGACAGCAACCATAGTGCTCCAGAACGCTCACCTCACACCAGCTATCAGTGGGGAGGAGAACAGAGTGATGACGCCAGTTCAGAGAGGGGGATTATTAGGAGGACATGATTGGTAAGGGCCAATGGGAAGTTTGTTCGTGACGCTGGAGTACTCTTTTTGAGACACCCTGGGAATTTTAATGATGGCAGAGAGTCAGGACCTCGGTTTTACATCTCATCTGAACACAGCACCTTTTAACTGTATAGTGTCCCCGTCACTATAATGGGGCATTAGGACCCACACAGACTGTGGGGTGAGCGCCCCCTACTGGCCCAATTAAAACCTCTTCCAGCAGCAACATTAGTTTTTCCCAGGAGGTCTCCCATCCAGGTACTGACCAGGCTCAGACCTGCTAAGCTTCAGTGGGCTGCCAGTTGTGAGTTGCCAGGTGATATAGCTGCTGGCATAAAATAGCATGAAGCTGGGCACCTGTGGAATATATAGGAGTAACAGCAAGGAGTGCTGTTTATAGACTGTAGTGCAATGTGGTTATGCTTAATTAAATGCCTGGCCTAAATGCCACTTCCAAAGAAATCAAAACCACATAATTTGAGACCACTCTATGTATGCAAATGTACTGTATGCACATCAATTTTATAACATCGCAAAGTGCTAAAATCCAGTAATTAAACATGCCAATGCACAGATAGCTAAAGTTGTACTGAAACCACACTGATTTGTGAAATAGCAGAGTTAGGGTCCTTTCCGTGAGTCCTACTGCACTGGGACTTCAAAAAATTTGTCAGCCCACTGTCAATGACCTAATGCAGCCTTAATTCGACATGAAATTGAACTTATTCGAAATCTTGAATTCAGTTTACCATTCAAATATTTCGATATTTCAAGTTAGGAATTAAATTGCATTGAAACCTACAACATTTTTGCATCTAAAGATGATTAAAACTTTACAATGAAGCATAATATTAGCCTAAGTTAAAGGTTAACCTTTAAGGAATACAGAGCTTATCTGAACTGAAAGACACTGAAAACGCTTTCCATTCCAGGAGTGGAAATCCATTAGCAGTTTTCTTCTGACTGGGACTCTGGGTGTGAAAGCAGAGTGAGGATGGCTTTGTGCTGGTGTGGATATACTGTTTATCTCATGGGTTTAACTAGATATTATGATACTATGACTTCATAGTCTGATCCCAATCTCATAACTCTGGTTTGCTCAATCCTGGATTACGGGATTTATACTGTAGGTAGCCTTAAAATGTCAGTATGAGCAGAGACTTGGAAAGCATACTAATATCTTAATCAAATCTTAATAAATCAACTGATTGATCCAGCTAAGTCACTCACAGTTCAGTGGTCACGGAAATCAAGAGGCAATATATGGCTATCTGAGTCTAGGATTGGACACATCTGCTATGGAACATGGGGAAAGGAAATGATACATTAGCTATATCTGTAAATCAATTATTTGTTTCCAGCAATCATTTCTGTCAGTATCATGAAAAATAAAAGTAATCACCTGCCTACATGTCATGTAGATCAAATAATTTGCTACATGAAGAAAGTAAAAGACCAAATACCAAAATATACAAAACAACAGTAAAATGCATCGATCCATTTTCCAAACTCTTCGTACAGTTTAGGGTCACGGGAGAGTCCATTGCAGAGCAAACACAGACACACACTTACATCAGGGCCAATGTTCCCAGAAGCCAATCTACCAGTATGTCTTTGGATTGTGTTTGGAAACCAGAGCACCCAGAGGAAACCCACACAAACACACAACAGGAACATACAAACTCCACACAGACAGCATTCCAGGTTGGGAATTGAACACAGGGCCTCAGGAAAGCAAGGTAGCAAAGCTAACCACTGCCCTACCATGTTATCCCGGTAAAATACATCCATCCATTTTTCAACCGCTTCTTGCGATTCAGGGTCATAGGGGAGCCAGAGCCTATATCGGCAAGCAAGGGGCGCAAGGCAGGATACACCCTGGTTGGGATGCTCGTTCATTGCAGGGCAGACAGACACGCAAACACACACACACCTAGAACAAATCTTTCCAGAAGCCAATTAGCCTGCCAGTATGTCTTTGGACTGTGGGAGAAAACTGGAGCACCTGGAAGAAACCCAAGTGAACACAGAGAGAACATACAGACTTTACACAGATAGCACCCCAAGTATGTAAGCAAACCCAGGATACCAGCACTGGAAGGCAACAATGCTAACCATTGCATCACCACTAAATGCATTATAGATGTAATTATATTCAACAAAACTATACTGCAGAACTTTACATGCTTATAAAGATATTCATTTAATCTATGTATTACTGTACATATGACTATTTTGACTGCTATAGCATCTTAAAACATTTTTGTTTTTATTTTGGGACAAGATGCTTGCATTTTTTAAATGAACCCACATATTGGTTGCTTTTGTGGTATCGATTCCCCTTACCGTTTCCTCCGTTGCTATATTCGGTTTTCAGTGTCCCGCACTTAAGAACACCTGTTCTATATGTTGCGGTTAGAAAACTCTAATCTATTAACTACAAAAGCAAATAGTACAATCATTTTTACCCCTAGCGCAAACCAGACAACCCCCGTGTGTTCTTTAGAACTCGTTCAGAGAGGCGTGTCTGGACGAATCCCTAACCAGCTGTCCCAGGATTGCAAAAGGATAACAACTAGCACAAACAATTGGAAATACCCAGTAGTGAAATAGTGATAAAAATATTACATAGCCCACCTCCCTTTCCTACTAAACACACAAGGGTCTGCATTTAATGTATTTTAGCTTTAAATCTGTTTATGTGCTCTGAGTTTCACGTTAAGTAGGTTATTGCCCAGCTGTAAGAAGACTTCCTGGCTCCGAGCCTGTAAAGAAGGTGACGTGACTGCCTACACTTTAAATCATTCGCAGAGCCCCGTATCACAATCAAAAATGAAAATCGTTTAACTCAACGTTACTTCATTATACATTAAAAAATACTGACTAAAAACAATTATTCCGGTTCTTAATGTGTTTTTTTTTAATACACTTTGTTTTGATTGAACCGGTCCAAAAATCAGGATTATTGTTTTGGAAATGTTAATGTTGCTAGGCAACATGCTGTTGCCTGATTGTTGTTGTGAATGTTGTTCTCCTGATTTTCTGATTCTCCCAATAAGTACCCATGGTTATCCTCTAAATATACAAATTTCTACGTTTTACAGTTGTATTTTCACGAAGTTTAACTATAAAAGCTTTATTGAATACCTACTCTACCGAAAGATTTTTTGATAGCCAAATCCTATTTTTTAAGATGACAAATAAACACATTGTACAGCTCACACAGTACAGTACATATAACCTTTGTCTTTTCTTCAGTTTCATTTCAGCAGAGTACACAACAATGCAGAGCCCACTTTTCCCGAAACAATCACCGTATCTGTACAATAGACTGCAAGTTCTCTAAAGCCTGGAGATTTAAAGAGTCTCAAATAAAGATTTGGTCTCCATTATCATACATGGTAAATTGCACCTGGACTCTCCTTTGTAGCGCTATTATATACACCTATCTCTTTTAAATAAACCTCCAGACAGCGATGCACACTTTTTAAGCTAACTGACGGGTAAAATTCTACATCTTCATTGCCATTAACAGAAAAACATTAGCAAATGTAAGAATTGGAGAGCTGAGGTCCAACAAAACACGTGTGCCCCTTCACTCAGTTTATCTTGTTCCTGGTTTTCATTTTGGTTACACGCCTTTCCAAATTACAACGTCCAATTGGTTCCCAGTCAACGTCAATCATATTGGTATCTAGGTGATTTGTAGGCGTGTATACAAAATAACGTCACTACTCCTTTTAGCCAATAAGAAGATGACTTTATTATGACACCCCGGGATTCCGCGAAATAGGTTCTCTAAGAAGAGCACTCTGAAATGTTGCTCAAGATCTAACAGAAACATGTGAGTCAGGATCGTGAGTAAGTGCTGCCGTATCCTGTTTCGCGCAACCGCTTCTTCATTTTAGAAATATTGTCTGTGAATAAAAAATAAGGACTTTCATAATTGCCTGGTGAGGCACTACACGAGTATTTTTTTAGGTTTAAAATGTACCCTGCTTCTTTTGAAACACACTGAAAGGAGACACGTGTGAAGGCAGTAGCAGATGGGACTTCTGAGAGCCACATGCTCTCAGAAGAGAAGTCAGTGCTAGTTCGTGTCTGCACTTCGGTGAACGCATGTGAGTATCACAGCTGTGTAGTTTTAGGGTTTTGCAAAAAATATATTTCAATTTCTGTTGGCTTGACCGGATTTGTGTATTATCTTTTAGACATAAGAATACACAGAAGACATGTCGGATGTTGACTTTGCTGCCGAGTGTCTGGTTTCCATTTCCAATCGAACAGCGGTACATCCTTGCCCTGATCTCATGATGTCTGAGGACATTCCGAAAGAAACTCAGGAAAACAGAGCCATACTCATGGCTGCCATGATTTTGCTGGATTTAAACAAGCGCAGTCCCCTTACGGCTATCCGCAGTGTTGCCGCGAACACTGCCAAAACCGCGAGTGGACTCACCTCCGAGGGCGCCGTGAGCAAGCACCGGGAGGCCCGAGCGACCCGGGTGAGCGGCGACAAGGAGAAGCCGCTGGGTTTCAGACCGACCTCGGGCAACGAGCTTACTGGGTCCCGCCTGCCTTCGGGGAAGAGGCACTGCTGCCCCCACGCAGGATGTGGGAAAATCTATGGGAAATCGTCCCATTTGAAAGCTCACTTCCGAGTCCACACCGGTGAGTATAAAAGCCTTACCACAAAATGTGTAATGTGGGATTTTGTTTTCGCTCTTAATAATAATTTGGCTCAAATTGGACCAAAAAGAAATGCGTCAGGGCTCTCTGCTCTGCGCTCCGCCCTGACTCGGCCAGCTGAGGGCAGACAGGTAGCACAGGCTGTAAGTACATGGCTGTACGAAGCTGTTGCGAAATAAAGTACAGAGAGCTGCGCGTAGTGTTGACGAATATCTTGGAGGAAAAAATACCGGCAGCTCTTCGTGCGAGAGTTAAGTAACTGGTAATGACAAAGCGTAGCAGTAATGTCACGACATCACCCTTTTGAAACCCGAGAAACAGTGTCGTGCCTGTCGTGGGGGGCGTGTTCCCGGGGAGAGGGCTGGGACTGGGAGGGACGTGGGCGGTGCTGCACGCTGTGGATCCAAGCGAAGTGCTGGGCACTGCTGAGTTACACTGATTTGATGATCGGAAACTCCCTAGGTTCATATTTGGTATAAGTAAGGGGTAGTTAAAATTTAAGCTTCGAAACGGTCTGGGAAAGGGGGTTCTTCAAAATAATTCAACCGTAGATTGTGCCTATAACTGACTTTTGCGTCATTATGCAAAATCAGATGAGGCTATTAAAGGTAGGAAGCAGGGGTTGGCGATTTGCATTTCCGTTTAGCAGTTCAGTTTCGTTTTCTTTGAGATTAGATTAACTTTCCGTGTTTGGACTTGTTTATTATCCCTGGCAATCGTAACTGTATTTAATGTCGATGCCTCAAGTGCTGTATACCTAAAACGCTAATTCGAAACAGTTGTATGCTATTCCTGTTATCCCTCTTTTAGGACGTGTGTGGTGTGTTTCAGAATCCGAAGCACCTTTAATCGCCAAGTACATTTCGTTTACAAGGAATTTACTCTGGTGTACTTGGTGCCGCAAAACCATTCTACATATACCATGCGCAAACAAGACTAATAGACATTAATAAGACAGTGCACAACTGACTATTAATACTAGTTAAGCTAAAAGACAGTCAATGGAAAGAAGCTGTTCAAATACCGGGCGGTGCTGTCTTTCATAGGCCGGTAGCGTCTTCCTGAAGGACGTTTATGAAAGGTGGTACCTGATTGGGAGCTGTCATCAGCGGTCTTTCCTGCCCACGTCTTCGGTCTGAAATTGTACACATCATCATTGAAGACGGGCAGATGAGAGCCAGGGGCCCTTTCTGCAGAGCGAACCACACACTGCAGTTTGCGTTTGGAGTGGGCAGACGCCTTGCAAACCAGTTAGAGAAGCAGCCAGAATGCTCTCAGTAATGGCTCAGCAGAACTGTATTAGAAGTGCTTGAGGGATACCCAAGTTTTTCAGCTGGTGCAAAAAGAATATTCTCTGTAGCACTTTCTTGGTAAAGCCTTAAAGTTGGTCATTTAAAACATTTTTAACATTGTCCTAAAACTGCGCCTAGTGGAACTGCAAATATTGCTGTAAAAAACATAAACTGGTAGTGAGAGTTATGTCTTGGAACACTTTCAGGATAAAATGGGTAAACCCCGTTTTGTTCACCAATGTGCAGCAGCTGGGGCTGCACATTGGTGGTGGTGGTGGTGGTGGAGGGGAGTCCCCATTACCTGTAAAGCATTTTGAGTGGAGTGTCTAGAAAAGCGCTATATAAGTGTAAGCAATTAAATTAATTAAACCAGTTTCCTGCATGGCTTTTATTGTATGATCACTCTGCTAGTGCTAGTGAAAGCAAAATACTGCTTTTAAATATAGTCACAAAAAAAAATGTTTTAAGGCAACATTACAACTGTTTGTAATTCTTCCGTAAAAAGATGTGTTTTTACACATGTAAGCCTTAATTTTTAATGGGATTGTCATGGCAGAGTGATATTTAGGACTTCTCGTGATGTCCCATTGTACCCTTCCCCCTAACTCTAACACCCCCCTCTGAAACTGGCTCTACTATTAAAACACGCCCTGCACTAGGCCTGTAAATTCCCCTGTGCAAGAATCCTTTGCACAAGTCTTTCTTCTGCATCATTTTAAAAACTAGGAAGTTGTAATGCTAACGCATCAGTGTTTGTTTCTCAAAATTAAGGCTCTGTGTGACTAGAGGGTATTTGTATTCAACAATTCAACTCCCTCCTTCCCTGTCCTATTCCGCTAATGGCTCAAAGCCCAGGTGCTGTGTATTACTAGGATGTTGGTTTAATGGGTGTAACAGAATGTGTCTGTTACAGTGGAGCACTGCCACTTTGCTTTCTCTATCGCCTCTAAAAAATCATGGCCATCAACTCAGAGAGAGCAGCTCGGCAGCTCTTAGTTTCTGTTTTTTTTTTCCAGTGCCCTAGTGCCTGGTACAGTAACAGGTGGCACGATAGCTCAGCGCGCAGTTGGCATTGCTGCCTCACAGTGCTGTTGCCCTGGGGTGCTGTCTGTATGTAGTTGGCATGTTCTCCCCGTGTTTGTGTGGGTTTCTTCTGGATGCTCTGGTTTCACCGCACAGTCCAAAGACATGCTGGTAGGTTAATTGGCTTCTGTGAAAACTGTCCCTGGTGTGAGTGTGTGTCTGAGTCTGTATCTGCTCTGCGATGAACTGGTGACCCATCTCTTGCCTTGTACCTGTTGTTTGCTGGGTTAGGCTTGGGCTTCACCGTGACCCCGAACTGGTCAGAAGATGGATGTACCCCACCTGTTTGCTTTAGCCAACAGAGCTTCTTTTACTCTCTCTGTCGGGTGAGAAACTGGAGGTCCTGAGGAAGGGAGAGGTTGCTGTGTGAACTGACACAGTCACCTGCTGTATTTCTACAGGCGAGAGGCCCTTCCAGTGCACCTGGGCTGGCTGCTTCAAGAAGTTCTCTCGTTCGGACGAGCTGACGCGACACCATCGCACGCACACCGGCGAGAAGAGGTTCCGCTGCCCGCTCTGCGACAAGTGCTTCATGCGGAGCGACCACCTGACCAAGCACGCCCGGCGCCACGCCGACTTCCACCCCAGCATGATCAAGAAGGCCAGCTGGAGGACGCGGTCGTCCGGCTCCTGGTCTTCCTCTGAGTCAGGGGAGCAGGGCCCTGCCAGCCGCTGAGCTCCGCCTGCAGGAGGCGATTGCGGCACAGCACCACAACCAGACCAACACAAGGGAGTAATGAGGCCTCCACGTGGAGGGACAGACACCATTGGCAGTTAACTGTTCCTCCCTGTTTATCTTTAATTCTTCATCTTCTTTGATCCAGGATCTAATAAATGGGATTGAAGGAGCATCTTAAAGGGAGCATAGATCTGGACAATGCCTAACCTTTCTGCACAGGGCATATATCTGCTTTTCACATTTGAAGACTGGACTGCAATGTGTTCGAGGTCATTACACAGGAGAGCTCTGTCTCTTAGGCACAGATAAAGAGTTGTTTAAATAAGATCTAGTGACCTTTTAATTCTGGGAAAATCCCCAGCAAAATC